CAAACGCTCCCGGATGTCTACGAGGTCGATCCAAATACTCTTTCTTCATCAGAATTTCGTCGTGAATCTCCCGGTGACCTCCAAATCTTCCAAATCTTTCTCGAATGCCTTCAAATCCTTCCCAAATGCCTCTCAAGCGCCGATTGCCGGACTCTAACTTCTTCAAATCAACTCCAAATGCAATGAAACTTGATCCAATGCCTGTTAAACACAACTTGAGCCAAAATTGAGACCTGCAACGCCTTAAAGCCAGGAAAATCGTCAAAATCCGACCCGGACACGCATCAAATGTGTGTCTAAATACGGACTTATCAGACTCCCCCACACTTAAGCTTTTGCTTGTCCTCAAGCAAATCGAACAACGGGACTTACGATAATCACCACACGAAATTTAAAACAGTTAGCATGCATACGTAGTTAAAGGGATATTCACAGGACAGACAATTTAAATCAAGAAAATTCTTCCCTAAACTACACCTTTGTACTCAAGCTAAACTATTTGACACAATTATTCACAACATCCTCAAAGTAATGACAGCATTCACTAATAAGCTAGCTACTGATCAGAAGGACTTGTGAATTTGATGGTGCATGGATAATAATAATAATCCCTTTCTTTCGAGAGATAGGAATATTCTAACAAAGACTCAATGCATTCAGGAATTTCAGGGCTATTCGTAGGAACAGGGAACTCAGTAGGCCACAAATTAGGAACAATCATTTAAACCTATGCAAAGAGTAGACATGGTGTACAACTAAGCTAAACCGTCTCGGCACTTTTGTACTTTGACGTATACTTGAAGTACGCGGAGGACTAAAGCTAATTTTTCAATAGCCTCCAAGTTCATTAATTATGGTTTAGTTTTCCTTGTCATGTTGGCACGAGAACGCCATTTCTTTCGAAAGATACCCAAGTCTCATCTTACGCTTTTTGACCGGGGCTCCCATTCTCTTTTTCGCAAAGTAAGAGGTCTAGCTATATTAATTTTTCACCTTTCGGATTCTCACTAGACATTACTCCATTCTAATCTCGGCCTCACCAAGGAAAAATAGCAATTTAAGTGCTCATTAATTTCAAAGTGAATCCATGCCTACAATGCAATCCTCGAAAGTATCAAATTCCTAAAAAGTGACCGCTCTTACCCCATTTGGGGCATAGGAACAGTGCCAAAAATGGCTCCTACACAAAATTCCCTAAACTTAACAAATTATTCCCTTAATTCCGTAAACATCAAGACTAAGTCAGAAATATTCACGGGTAAGGAACAAAGGCCATTTGGCTATGGAGCTCAATTAATTGGGGCAAACAATAAACGGTCAGGCTCAAAATGGCTTCTCCTAAAGGGTCTTATTGAGGTAGGGTGGAGGATTAATGGATTAATTCAATGGGTAACTAATGCCTTCATCCTTTCAACAACTAGATTATAGTGCAAGCAATTTAAGCCTAAACACTTCAAAGATGTTCTAAAAGCATAGTCAAAACGCTAGCCAGCTCACAAAGACACAGTTTAAAGAAAAATTTTCAAAAATTTTGCATGAATTTCCTATGAATATACAACTAACACCTGCGCATGCTAACTCTAACAAATCACATGTGACAACTACTGCCCGAATGCCCAATTCACTTTGACTCCCCCACACTTGAACTTTGGCATCGCCCTCGATGACCAAATATGCATTATGTACTAGGGGTAAAGAGGAAAGGGTCACGCGTGCTCAAGATCAACTCAAGTTAACATTACGCATCGAAAAAATAGAATCATGGAAACTTCCCTATGGCGCTGGTCGATGCAAAACTAAACTGAGGCAATGTAATCCTCAACACATCATCCATACCACAAGACCCTGAGCTGCAACAAAAACACAAAGCAAAACAACCAAACAACAAACAAAGCAAAAGCAAAAGTAGAAGTAAGCTCGGGTTGCCTCCCAAGAAGCGCTATTTTTAACGTCGTTTGCCCGACGCAACCACCTCATCAAAAACTCAATCAAAGACACTCCCACTCAGAAAATTAGTCTTCCACAAATCAAACCTCCTATCAACAAATGCCCTGAGATGGCGTAAGACCTTAAATTCATGAAAACAAATACACATCTCAGGGTCACCCGTAAAGCAAAAGAATGGATCGTGGCCTTTATCAGGCCCTTTAGCAAAGAATGGGTCAAAGAATGGACAAATCCCTTTCATGTCAAAAATTTTCCGGGCTAGAACTTCCCCTTGTTCACTAAGTAAATTAAAACATGCTGATTTTTGAGATGCCTCAAGCCCGGATGCAAGAAGAATATGGAGGTCTGGATTATTATCAATAAAATCATACTCAAGGTGGAATGGAAGAGAGTTTAGATTTAATGGAGAAGGACTAACGAAAAAGGAATCGGGATGAAAATTTTTCTTCTCCACCTTATCTAAATCATCTTCCGTTCCCTGCACAGAACTAGCATCACTTGAGTCCTCCTCTCCACTTATCATAAGACAGTCAAAACTAGGGAGGGGCTCAAGATCCTTTGCTGACTCACTATCCTCAAACAAAAGGTCAGAAAGGGCTTCATTGGAAAGCATGTTCGGGGTGCAATCCTCCACCAGTGAATCTATGTCATCCAAATAAAAACACTCTCCACTATCCTGACAGGGCCTCTTCATTATTTTGGACATATCAAAGGTGGCAGTCTCATCCCCAACGCGGAGGACAAGCTTACCATCTCCAACATCAATAAGTGCTCGGGCAGTTGCCAAGAATGGTCTGCCTAAAATCAATGGTACCTCTCGATCCTGATCCATGTCCAAAATAACGAAGTCCACGGGAATAATAAACTTGTCCACTTTAACCAACACGTCCTCAACAATCCCTTGGGGATATTTAACTGAACGATCAGCCAACTGAATGCACATACGTGTAGGTTTAAGTGGACCGAGTGCAAGCTTTTCGTACAAAGTAAATGGCATCAAATTAATGCTTGCACCCAAATCAGCTAAGGCCCTATCAAAAGAAAGATCTCCTATTAAGCAGGGTATAGTAAAAGAACCTGGATCCTTAAGCTTCTCTGGTAGATCCCTCCTAATCACAGCTGAGCAGTCCACGTTAAGCCTCACAGTGGACGCTTCTTCCAGCTTCCTCTTGTTTGTAAGCAGATCCTTCATGAACTTCGCGTACTTTGGCATTTGTGCTAGTGCATCCACGAATGGTATGTTAAGCTGGATTTGTTTCATGAGTTTCAGAAAATGACTAAACTGGTCACTATCATTCTTCCTTGTCAATCGTGCCGGATAGGGGAGAGGTGGGGTGTAATTCTTGACCGGAACGGGCTGTTTTGGTGCAGCCGCCCCCTCTCTTCCCTCTTCTTTCTCCCTTTCTTCTTCCCGGGCAGCCGGTTCAATTTCAACTTCATCGGGCTTCTTTGTTGTGGCAGCAGGTTCCAGCTCTCTTCCACTCCTCAAGGTGATTGCCTGGACATGTTCTCTTGGGTTTGGCTCGGTGTTACTAGGGAGGGATCCCTGAGGCCTCTCATATACGGCTTTTGCAAGTTGCCCTATTTGATTTTCTATGTTTTGCATCCTTGCATTTGCTTGTTGATTATTTACCTCAGAAGCTTGTATGAAACGTTTGAGGGTTTCCTCCAAGCTAGCAAACTTTTGGTCAGTCTCTCTCATAAAATTTTCTTGCCCCGGCTGGGGTGCTTGCTGCTGGCCTTGAGGTGCTTGGGGCTGATTAAAGCTCCTAGATTGCTGCTGCTGCTGATTTCCGTGCCCGTAATTCCCCTGTGGCTGCTGTCCGTAGGGCTGATTGTAGTAACCCTGCCGCTGATAATACATTGCATCAACTTGCTCTACTCCAGGGGCTGCCGTGTAACACCGGACCCGGATTTTACCCAGATAAATTTTTTTCGTAAAGTACTTGGTTAAAGAAGGTAAATCAAGACTAAGAGTAGTCTCGATAAATGAGAAAGTAAAATTTTGTCCTAAATTAATAAAGGGTTATTAATTTAGGCGTAGGACCACTTGTGGCTTTTCAAGTTTATAAAATATTATTGTTTCCCAAAACGATACTATTATGATAGTGGGTATGGGTCGTGGACCCCAGTGATATAAAGAACGACAACTAGATGGCCAAGCGGGCCGGAGTCACTAATCGATAATTGTGTGTCCTTAATTAACGGACTGATAATAATTCGGAAGACTACGAATTAATAACAGAAGAAATATAAATATTTTAAGAACCCAAAAGTAATGGGATAATTAATATTGATTAATTTGGTATATTAAGGAGAGTACTTTTGGATGACCCTACCTTGAAGATATTTTGTATGAGGAGAAACAGATAAGATTTTATCTGTTCATACATATCAGACCACTTAAAAAGAAGTGTAACATTTTATTAAAGTGTCACAAAATATGAAATCACATATTTAGTCATGAGAAATGATGAATGAATTTTCGATGGAACATGTTCTCATTTTTACTGTTACTTGAACAGTAAAATGCACGTTGGGCCCACACATGGGCGGGGACCATATGATATTTTCGGGACCACATATTATATTCATCTTGGTCTAGATGATATTTATTTGATGGTGTAAATTAATTTTGAGCCATAAAGTTGGCCTTTCGATCAAACAAGGTCACATTACCAGTATAGGTGATATAACAGATAAAAGCCCGAAATAAATTCCGGAAACCACTAAATTAAAGTTGGATAATATATATTCATTCTAGGGGCCAATATTAATTGGAAGAATGATATATATATTTTATTCGTCCCGATAAAATTAAATTTAATTAAAGCAGTCCGGAAAATACAACTTTCGGGACCGAATATACATTCGGGGACATATTGGGATGACCTCCCACATGAGTGGGGGCCATCCCACGTTTTTGTGCAATCAAATAGACATGAGGGTGGCTGGAATGTGATGAGGGAGTAAATATTAGGTGGGATGTGAGAGTTATGGCATCAAAAAGGACATGGAGGGACCTCACCCCTCACTCATGTGTTTAATGAGACAAAAGAACCTCCTCACCCCTTCCCACTCTCATTATTTCGGCCAAGACCAAGCAAGGGAGGAGATAACACCCCAAATTCACCATCTTCATATCCTACAACCGAGCTCAATCAAAGTAATGGTCCAAGGAAGAAGAAAGAGTGAGAAAAGAAGAGAAAAACCTTGATTAATTAAGGTAATGATCTCATTAACATTTTTCATCCTCCATTTAATCTCATATGATTTTATAAATCATATGATGGACCCTTAAACTTGTTCTACACTTATAGAGGTGTAGGATGAAGGTTTGGAGGGTTAAGTTTAACCATGAACGGAGTTATGACCGGAGTAAGACCGGTTTGCCGGAAAACACCTTCTCGGAAGGTTTTGACGTTTATACCAATTTTGGTTGTGAAACCTTGTTAGGAATTTTACCAAGGTATTCTAGACTTCTCAAGGAATATAGGAGTGGCCGGAAAGTCGCCGGAGCCGCCGGAGTTTTCGCCGGAAAATTCAAAGGTCACCGGAGTTCAAACAAAGAGGATAAAAGCTTGCTAGCGTCATTTCAAGGTGAGTGGACGACTACGTGTCTTGTAACTCTTGAGTCAAACGTGGGATTACCTAAATAAAATCATAATCATGATTTGAGAAATGATTAAATGGATTAAAATACATGATTAGTCATGGTGAATATGAAATATGAAAATATTATATGGTTAATGAATAAGAGATTAATTTGTGGATTAATCATGGATATATTATTGTCAAATGTATAAAAATGCATACTTGGACTATGTATGATACTAACTAGATTAATCTAGTATGTGAGTATGTATAAAAATGTTTAAAAGTGTTTAAACATGTGATTAACCATATTGATTATAAATTAAGTGAAAGTGGCATGATAAATGAGTAAATAATTACTAATATTATTGATGAAGAATAATCATGAATGATTATTTGGGAATGACTAAGGAAATTCAAGATGGTATTCTTGTGAAGAATTCAAGTATTAAATCATGCAAGTCACTAAAGTAAAATCTAGTTTATGAGAAATAAACTAGGAAATTATACAAGGTGTAATTAACTAATATAAATGTTTTTGTAGGCTCATTTGAGAAATGACCAAAGTGATTCAAGTACTATTCTTGTGAAGAATTAAGGGATGCTTAAGAATACGTACTATTAAGATGAACTAGTTTATGTGAAATAAACTAGGGTAATATACAAATTAAAAGTGATTAACTAGTATCAATGACTTAGTTATAAATTTTGTGAATACAATATTCTAATTGAATGATGTATCATGGATGGCTCATTTTGTGGAGTGATCAAAGATAATTCAAGGTGGTATCCTTGTGAGGAATTAAAAAGTGCTTAATTATGCAAGTTATCAAGGTGAACTAGTTTATGGAAGATAAACTAGAATAATTTACATGGAAATGATTGGAAATATTTATATAAAATATATGTGATGTTTGAATGGCCAAAATAGCATTTATTGATTGTATTAGACATAATACATATTGTGTAAAAATTTCGGGCCAAACGGATCACGTTTCGGGGGTCAACTCGGAGGGCAACGGGCCGTTGACCCAAAATTCCGGACATACCCGGCGCCGGGTATAGGGCATACCCGGGGCCGGGTAAGCTGCTGCCTCCGATTTCCGTTTTCGCCGAAAACGCGTATCGGGGCCCGAAATGAGGGGGAATTAACCCCGAACATCCTATATATGAATATTTTGCATGGAATAGCATGAAATATGATGTTTAAAATGCTAAAGATTGTAATACGGTTTAAACGCTAAGACTTGGACTAGTCGTTAGTGAATAAATTATAGACCACGACCGGGCGAGGTACGTGGTAGATTATACATGGCGGGTGAATACCCGGGATCAAGTAAGGTTATATAATACTCTGTAGGACCAGGAGGAGTCCTCTACACTCAAACGTTAACAAGGGCCCGTGTAGTCCTTGAGGTGTGTTAACCTCCAGCAAATTACACATAGGTAACAAGGGCAAATGCAGTCCTTGAGGTGTGGTATCCTCCATCAAATTGCATATAGGTAACAAGGGCCCGTGTAGTCCTTGAGGTGTGTTAACCTCCAGCAAATTACACTTAGGTAACAAGGGCAAGTGCAGTCCTTGAGGTGTGGTATCCTCCATCAAATTGCATATAGGTAACAAGGGCCCGTGCAGTCCTTGAGGTGTGGTATCCTCCATCAAATTGCATATAGGTAACAAGGGCCCGTGTAGTCCTTGAGGTGTGGTATCCTCCAGCAAATTACACATAGGTAACAAGGGCAAATGCAGTCCTTGAGGTGTGGTATCCTCCATCAAATTGCATATAGGTAACAAGGGCCCGTGTAGTCCTTGAGGTGTGTTAACCTCCATTAATTTACACATAGGATGAGGGTGTATGCGTACTCCTCAAGGCGGGGTTAACCCAGAAATGAAAACTATGATAGTAAGGACGGATAGTCCTCGAGGTAGGTGAACCTCAAAGTAATGATTTTAAATGATTAAACGTGCTTGATCGGGAACGGGTTTCCGATATGATATTTTCCTTGGTCTAGGAATTGATTTAAACCATGTTCGTGATATGGGAGTCCGAAGGGCCCCCACAGTAATCATATTTTGATATCGGGTGAGTTAGCCTACGGGTGACTCCACTCGAGGGTAAGACATGGGAAGGGTGAATTTAATAAGGCTGTTAAGCCTAAATGTTTTGAAAGACAAATGGGCCCACGGGCCGGATATTTTACTCATATGTATATATGTATACATTTGTTTGAAAAGGGGTAGCTAAGAGTTATGCCCATATTGTACTATCACCCTATTTTGAGGGTCTCACGTGAGAAACGTTAGTTACATTACATACAGTTTGCCCTCACCAGTACTTTTCTGTAGTACTGATCCCTCGGGGGAACCACCCTTTCAGGTTGAAGCTAGAGCTTACTTCCTGCACCCGTTGCTCGTGAGATCGATGGAGAGAAGACGTGGTTCGTGCTTCCTCTCGTTCCATTTTTAAATAATTAAATAATGCTCATGGAACTATTTTGACTTATAAATTAATGGAGCCTGCGAGCTCTTGTTTTACCCTTGTGTGGGTTCTTATTAAAACACTTATATTCCGCTATGTGTTTGATTGTATGTTGATGTTGTTATGTATGTTTACTAATCGGTTTTGGCATATGTATCTATCGGACGTCTTGTGCAATTCGGTAAGGATGAACTGCGGTTATTCTTATTGGGTTGTACGACGGTTGTCCACGTGGCACAGACGCGGTCTGGGGCGTGACAATTAAGTGGTATCAGAGCCATACGATTTCTAAACTATATAGTCAACCTCTCAACAGAGTTTCTATCAAAATAATTTTTCAATGAAGACCATGAGCATAAGTTTTGTACTTCAAAGAGCATTTGGTTATTGAGTTGCAAGGTCTCTGGTTGTTAAGACGGGCCCCTTAACAATTGGTATGGAAGTGACTTGATCCAAGTTGTGTCTTGAGTACGTTTCTGTCAATTGACATTCAAACGAGTCTAAAGACTCATTCCAATATATTCTTTCAGGAATGGGTGGTAGCAATAGGGCGGTTCGAGGAAATCCGAGAGGGCGCGCGCCGGGGATAGCCGGGCATACCAATCGGGGAATACCACGGTCGCCAAAAAGGCGAGGTGGGGGCCACCAGGGCCAACGAACACAAGCCGCAGTGGCTTATCGCAATGTGACCGAATTCGAGTCGTGGAACTCGGAGGATGACTCAACTTATCACCCTGAAGGTGAGTCAGATGAAACTTCTTTTGAGGGAAACAGTGGAGAGGATATACACAGTATTCCTCCTGACCAGATTAGTGAGATGTACCGATGGTACCAGTGTGAAAGGGAAAGACAACGACAGAGATCCCAGGTGGGACATGTCAGAGATGAGACCTCTCGTAGGAGGGGTCGGAGTGCTCATGAAGCACAGGTTAGGATAGTCAGAGATTCTGATGGCGAAGGACCATTCATTAAGATCTCAAAGTACCTCAAGGAGGCTAGGGCCTTGGGGTGCAAACCATTTGATGGGACGGGTGATATCTCAGAAGCAGCCGAATGGATAAAAAGGTTAAATGATGCAGCTGATGACATGCAAGTGGTTCCTGAACGGAAGTTAAGGGTAGCCACTAGATTATTGGAAGGTTTAGCTTCTACTTGGTGGGAAGGCATCAAGAGTAAGTTTGACGGGGTTGTCACGTGGGACAACTTTGAGCAAGCATTCTATGAGCAGTTTTACACCTCTTTTGAAGTAAATCGAAAGAGGAGGGAATATACCAATCTCAAACAGGGCAATGAGTTCACAGTGAAACAATTGGAACAAAGGTTCCGACATTTGGCAAGGTTCTTGCCTGAATATGCCGCAAATGAGGATCGAATGGCGAACCATTTTTGGAACACACTAAATTTGGAGGTACGTGAAAGGGTGACCTACCAATTCAGCATGACTTTCAGTCAAGTAGTAGCCCAGGGTCTCCAGGGGGAGGAGCTTTGGGAGGAAAGACAAGCAAGGGGTGTTAAGGAAGCACAAGAAAGGGATCAAGTGATCAATCATCCTCCACAACGAGAGAGAAGGTATGACCTTCAGAGCAAGAGAGACTCTAACACGTCAGTTCCGTTTCAAAGAGAGAGCCAAGACTGGGTAAGTCGAAGCTCAAGCACTCGGGGAACGGGAGCACCCAAATGTGAGAATTGTAGGCGAAAGCACTACGGGATATGTCTAGAACCATCTAGATGCTACTTTTGTGGAGAAACGGGCCACATAAAAGCTCTTTGTCCTCAACGTGTACGGGGAGGAGCCTTGGGGGCCCAGAGGGGAGTCACGGAGGTTGCAAACCCAATAGGGATTGCTTCAAATGTTTTACCATCCACCAATCGAGGAAGAACTCGCTCGTGAAGGCGATGAATGACAGAAGCCATTTGTGGGAATGACTATGACATGAGGTAATATTTATTTAAACCCTTCATTTCCAAAAAAAAAAATTGATGTTGAAAATGGTTAGCTTCAATTAATGAAGGGGGAAGTATTTCTCAAGGTTAAGACGTTAATTTCGGGGACGAAATTCCTGTAAGGGGGGGTGAACTTGTAACACCGGACCCGAATTTTACCCAGATAAAATTTTTTCGTAAAGTACTTGGTTAAAGAAGGTAAATCAAGACTAAGAGTAGTCTCGATAAATGAGAAAGTAAAATTTTGTCCTAAATTAATAAAGGGTTATTAATTTAGGCGTAGGACCACTTGTGGCTTTTCAAGTTTATAAAATATTATTGTTTCCCAAAACGATACTATTATGATAGTGGGTATGGGTCGTGGACCCCAGTGATATAAAGAACGACAACTAGATGGCCAAGCGGGCCGGAGTCACTAATCGATAATTGTGTGTCCTTAATTAACGGACTGATAATAATTCGGAAGACTACGAATTAATAACAGAAGAAATATAAATATTTTAAGAACCCAAAAGTAATGGGATAATTAATATTGATTAATTTGGTATATTAAGGAGAGTACTTTTGGATGACCCTACCTTGAAGATATTTTGTATGAGGAGAAACAGATAAGATTTTATCTGTTCATACATATCAGACCACTTAAAAAAGAAGTGTAACATTTTATTAAAGTGTCACAAAATATGAAATCACATATTTAGTCATGAGAAATGATGAATGAATTTTCGATGGAACATGTTCTCATTTTTACTGTTACTTGAACAGTAAAATGCACGTTGGGCCCACACATGGGCGGGGACCATATGATATTTTCGGGACCACATATTATATTCATCTTGGTCTAGATGATATTTATTTGATGGTGTAAATTAATTTTGAGCCATAAAGTTGGCCTTTCGATCAAACAAGGTCACATTACCAGTATAGGTGATATAACAGATAAAAGCCCGAAATAAATTCCGGAAACCACTAAATTAAAGTTGGATAATATATATTCATTCTAGGGGCCAATATTAATTGGAAGAATGATATATATATTTTATTCGTCCCGATAAAATTAAATTTAATTAAAGCAGTCCGGAAAATACAACTTTCGGGACCGAATATACATTCGGGGACATATTGGGATGACCTCCCACATGAGTGGGGGCCATCCCACGTTTTTGTGCAATCAAATAGACATGAGGGTGGCTGGAATGTGATGAGGGAGTAAATATTAGGTGGGATGTGAGAGTTATGGCATCAAAAAGGACATGGAGGGACCTCACCCCTCACTCATGTGTTTAATGAGACAAAAGAACCTCCTCACCCCTTCCCACTCTCATTATTTCGGCCAAGACCAAGCAAGGGAGGAGATAACACCCCAAATTCACCATCTTCATATCCTACAACCGAGCTCAATCAAAGTAATGGTCCAAGGAAGAAGAAAGAGTGAGAAAAGAAGAGAAAAACCTTGATTAATTAAGGTAATGATCTCATTAACATTTTTCATCCTCCATTTAATCTCATATGATTTTATAAATCATATGATGGACCCTTAAACTTGTTCTACACTTATAGAGGTGTAGGATGAAGGTTTGGAGGGTTAAGTTTAACCATGAACGGAGTTATGACCGGAGTAAGACCGGTTTGCCGGAAAACACCTTCTCGGAAGGTTTTGACGTTTATACCAATTTTGGTTGTGAAACCTTGTTAGGAATTTTACCAAGGTATTCTAGACTTCTCAAGGAATATAGGAGTGGCCGGAAAGTCGCCGGAGCCGCCGGAGTTTTCGCCGGAAAATTCAAAGGTCACCGGAGTTCAAACAAAGAGGATAAAAGCTTGCTAGCGTCATTTCAAGGTGAGTGGACGACTACGTGTCTTGTAACTCTTGAGTCAAACGTGGGATTACCTAAATAAAATCATAATCATGATTTGAGAAATGATTAAATGGATTAAAATACATGATTAGTCATGGTGAATATGGAATATGAAAGTATTATATGGTTAATGAATAAGAGATTAATTTGTGGATTAATCATGGATATATTATTGTCAAATGTATAAAAATGCATACTTGGACTATGTATGATACTAACTAGATTAATCTAGTATGTGAGTATGTATAAAAATGTTTAAAAGTGTTTAAACATGTGATTAACCATATTGATTATAAATTAAGTGAAAGTGGCATGATAAATGAGTAAATAATTACTAATATTATTGATGAAGAATAATCATGAATGATTATTTGGGAATGACTAAGGAAATTCAAGATGGTATTCTTGTGAAGAATTCAAGTATTAAATCATGCAAGTCACTAAAGTAAAATCTAGTTTATGAGAAATAAACTAGGAAATTATACAAGGTGTAATTAACTAATATAAATGTTTTTGTAGGCTCATTTGAGAAATGACCAAAGTGATTCAAGTACTATTCTTGTGAAGAATTAAGGGATGCTTAAGAATACGTACTATTAAGATGAACTAGTTTATGTGAAATAAACTAGGGTAATATACAAATTAAAAGTGATTAACTAGTATCAATGACTTAGTTATAAATTTTGTGAATACAATATTCTAATTGAATGATGTATCATGGATGGCTCATTTTGTGGAGTGATCAAAGATAATTCAAGGTGGTATCCTTGTGAGGAATTAAAAAGTGCTTAATTATGCAAGTTATCAAGGTGAACTAGTTTATGGAAGATAAACTAGAATAATTTACATGGAAATGATTGAAAATATTTATATAAAATATATGTGATGTTTGAATGGCCAAAATAGCATTTATTGATTGTATTAGACATAATACATATTGTGTAAAAATTTCGGGCCAAACGGATCACGTTTCGGGGGTCAACTCGGAGGGCAACGGGCCGTTGACCCAAAATTCCGGACATACCCGGCGCCGGGTATAGGGCATACCCGGGGCCGGGTAAGCTGCTGCCTCCGATTTCCGTTTTCGCCGAAAACGCGTATCGGGGCCCGAAATGAGGGGGAATTAACCCCGAACATCCTATATATGAATATTTTGCATGGAATAGCATGAAATATGATGTTTAAAATGCTAAAGATTGTAATACGGTTTAAACGCTAAGACTTGGACTAGTCGTTAGTGAATAAATTATAGACCACGACCGGGCGAGGTACGTGGTAGATTATACATGGCGGGTGAATACCCGGGATCAAGTAAGGTTATATAATACTCTGTAGGACCAGGAGGAGTCCTCTACACTCAAACGTTAACAAGGGCCCGTGTAGTCCTTGAGGTGTGTTAACCTCCAGCAAATTACACATAGGTAACAAGGGCAAATGCAGTCCTTGAGGTGTGGTATCCTCCATCAAATTGCATATAGGTAACAAGGGCCCGTGTAGTCCTTGAGGTGTGTTAACCTCCAGCAAATTACACTTAGGTAACAAGGGCAAGTGCAGTCCTTGAGGTGTGGTATCCTCCATCAAATTGCATATAGGTAACAAGGGCCCGTGCAGTCCTTGAGGTGTGGTATCCTCCATCAAATTGCATATAGGTAACAAGGGCCCGTGTAGTCCTTGAGGTGTGGTATCCTCCAGCAAATTACACATAGGTAACAAGGGCAAATGCAGTCCTTGAGGTGTGGTATCCTCCATCAAATTGCATATAGGTAACAAGGGCCCGTGTAGTCCTTGAGGTGTGTTAACCTCCATTAATTTACACATAGGATGAGGGTGTATGCGTACTCCTCAAGGCGGGGTTAACCCAGAAATGAAAACTATGATAGTAAGGACGGATAGTCCTCGAGGTAGGTGAACCTCAAAGTAATGATTTTAAATGATTAAACGTGCTTGATCGGGAACGGGTTTCCGATATGATATTTTCCTTGGTCTAGGAATTGATTTAAACCATGTTCGTGATATGGGAGTCCGAAGGGCCCCCACAGTAATCATATTTTGATATCGGGTGAGTTAGCCTACGGGTGACTCCACTCGAGGGTAAGACATGGGAAGGGTGAATTTAATAAGGCTGTTAAGCCTAAATGTTTTGAAAGACAAATGGGCCCACGGGCCGGATATTTTACTCATATGTATATATGTATACATTTGTTTGAAAAGGGGTAGCTAAGAGTTATGCCCATATTGTACTATCACCCTATTTTGAGGGTCTCACGTGAGAAACGTTAGTTACATTACATAAAGTTTGCCCTCACCAGTACTTTTCTGTAGTACTGATCCCTCGGGGGAACCACCCTTTCAGGTTGAAGCTAGAGCTTACTTCCTGCACCCGTTGCTCGGGAGATCGATGGAGAGAAGACGTGGTTCGTGCTTCCTCTCGTTCCATTTTTAAATAATTAAATAATGCTCATGGAACTATTTTGACTTATAAATTAATGGAGCCTGCGAGCTCTTGTTTTACCCTTGTGTGGGTTCTTATTAAAACACTTATATTTCGCTATGTGTTTGATTGTATGTTGATGTTGTTATGTATGTTTACTAATCGGTTTTGGCATATGTATCTATCGGACGTCTTGTGCAATTCGGTAAGGATGAACTGCGGTTATTCTTATTGGGTTGTACGACGGTTGTCCACGTGGCACAGACGCGGTCTGGGGCGTGACATGCCGAGTGTGCCAACATAGTGCATTCATGTGGCGAATGGAGTCCCCCACACATAGTACAAGAGGGACTAATAGGAACGGGGGCTACCATATTAACACTGGGCACCGAGAGAGCAAGATTTGTCTTCTTTTGATTATCCTCCACAATGGTAGCAAGCTTCTGAATCATGCTGGTCAAAGTATCTACCCTCGCAGAAAGGGCAGAATTATCATTGATCTCGTACAAGCCCGGGGCCTTCTGATGAGGTGTGTCCCGAGAGCCATACCATGAAGCATTATTAGAAACTATCTTCTCCACTAGTTCTTCTGCCACCTCAGATGGCAACTGAGGAAAAGCTCCTCCACCCGAAGCATCAAGCATCATCTTCCCTTCATTGTTGATTCCGCTGTAGAAACAAGATAGAATCTCACTATCAGTCATCTTGCCTTGAGGGCAAGCTCTTCTTAGCACTTTGAATCTCTTCCATGCCTCAGCCAATGTCTCTAAAGAACCTTGCTTGAAATCCTGCAGCTGCCTCTTCAACTTTATTGCCTTTGATGTCGGAAAATACTCCTTGATGAAGGACTTGTGCAACTGATCCCATGTCTGAATATGGTGATGTGGATTGCTATCCAACCACCTATGCGCATCGTCCCTCAATGAGAAAGGGAACAATAGCATCCGTACCTGATCATCATCTAGCCCGGGGATCTTAAAAGTTTGGCACATCCTCAAGAATTTTGTAATGTGTGCCACTGGATCTTCTGTAGGGCTCCCTCCAAACTGATTATTGGACACCATGTTGATCACCGCTGGGTTGATCTCATAGAGAGGTGCAGTAATTCCTTGCACTTGAATGTTGTCGTACTCTGTGATGTCCGGCGTGAGGAAATCTGCAATGGTCTCTCCTTAATAAAGCGGGTTGTTGTGTGGGACATAGTTTTGGAATGGAGGAGCCTGCTGTCTGGGCTGATAAACTGGCGGTGGTCTAATGGGTTGTTGATGGATTATGTTTGGCTGTGGTTGGGGCTGAACTTGGGGCTGGTGGTATTGCTGATATTGATTCTGGAAGGGTTGATTTTGTGGTTGGGTAAGGGGTGGATTTTGAGTGATTGGTGGGTTCTGTCTGGTTTGAAAGACTGGAATGTTTTGCCCAATACCTTGCATCCCAAAGGTTTGGTTTTGAAAAGTGGTTTCGGGGGCAATAGAAGTGTTTTGGAAGAGCTGATAGAGTGGTGGAAGATTTAGTTGTGGAGTGGACTGATTTTGGGGGAAGAATGGGGTACGGAGATTTTGATACCCCGGATAAGCTCTAGGTGAATTTTCTTGTGAAGACTGGGGAGAGGTATTGACATAAAAATCAAGGTTACCAGAAGTGGTTTGGACCTCAGACGTCCCAGCGATTCCAGATGATGTAGTTTCCATGGTTGCGTTCTTCTCAAGAAAAACCTTGCGGTTCTGTCTAGCAAACTTCTCAATCTCAGGATTAAAAGGGACAAGTGATTCTCCCTTCTTTGAACGTGTATGCATAAACAGATCTGACCTGCAAGGTTAGCAGACAAAAATCCTACGAAAAACTAAAAACAAGTCGCTAAAATTAATTAACCCTTAAATCCGACACCGTCCCCGGCAACGGCGCCAAAAACTGATGTGTGTTTTCTCGCACTTAAAATAGTTGTAGAAAAGTGGTTGAAAGTACGAGTATCGTCTCCACAGGGACGGACAAAAGGGAATTAAAGATTAACTAAATTCAGCGATTAAACAGAAATAAATAAATTAAAATGCGATGTGCGAGATTGATTGATTGAATTAAAATTAAAACTAATGCTAATGAGCGAATAAAAAGATTTGGTTTTCCTTAATTAACGACGAAGGGAACAGGAATTGATTCCGGGGTTAACCAGACTTCTGGCAGATCAGGCCTAATCACATGAATTTAATTTAATTGAGCCTAGCTAATCATTACTAAGTTCTTACCGCTCTCGCGGCGTAGAGTACAATAATTTAGGGGACCAGGCTGATCTCTCATGCGACAGGATCCTAACTTATTGCCAAGACGAGCGAGCTTACGGCCCCTTAATCGCTACTAATCTCTTAGCGAACGATTAAGTGTGTGTGAATGTGTCCTAGAACAAATTAGATCTCTCTTAATTTATTCTACATGCAATTGTAATTCTAGCTGCAGTCTAGGTTACAAGAGATATCAATTAAATTATTCAAACACAAATTAAACGACATTCATGCAATTAAACCGACAAGAATCTAGCCATCAATCATGATCAACCCCTTCATCAACCCCAAATCCCTAATTAAACTACTCACGCCTCATAATTGACGAATCAAAAGAATTGGGATGAATAGAAATAATTGTCATTAATTAAAGAATTGAACTTACAAAGAATCCCAGGTTCTTGGATTAAACAACGTAAAAACGCAGGTAAAACTCGTCCCTAGGCCTCTCTCCAAAGTTCGTAACCCCCAAAACGGGGTTATGGAGGCCTTATTTATAGAAAACAACGAATTCGGGTCGAATTAGGATCAATCGCGGCCAGGCACGGTGCCAGGCACGACCGTGCCTGCGGAAGAGTCCCGTATTTCGCGTCCAGGCACGGCGTGCCTAACTGCCAGGCACGACCGTGCCTGGCTTCCAGTAGCTTGGTTCTTCGAAAAACGCCAGGCACGGCGTGCCTAGCTGCCAGGCACGACCGTGCCTGGCCTCCAGTAGCTCCCAGGTACTAAACTCTTCAGGCACGGCGTGCCTGACTCCAGGCACGACCGTGCCTGACCTTATTCTTCAATTTTTCTTCGTTTCCTTGCTCCAAACGCTCCCGGATGTCTACGAGGTCGATCCAAATACTCTTTCTTCATCAGAATTTCGTCGTGAATCTCCCGGTGACCTCCAAATCTTCCAAATCTTTCTCGAATGCCTTCAAATCCTTCCCAAATGCCTCTCAAGCGCCGATTGCCGGACTCTAACTTCTTCAAATCAACTCCAAATGCAATGAAACTTGATCCAATGCCTGTTAAACACAACTTGAGCCAAAATTGAGACCTGCAACGCCTTAAAGCCAGGAAAATCGTCAAAATCCGACCCGGACACGCATCAAATGTGTGTCTAAATATGGACTTATCAATACACTTCCTGATGTTTTTGAAGACCCTGATGAGAACATTGTTAACGAGAGTTGGGATTCCTTCATGGGGAGTGATACAGAGTCCGGAGGAGAGGTTGTGAATGTTCATGATATCTGTTAGGAAGAAGAGGACTTTTCTATGGTGCAGTTTGATTACGGTGTTGCTCCTACTCCTTGCTTTGAGACATCTTTTGAGCTTCCGGTGATACCTAGAGTAATCAAAGTTTTCACTCATGTTTTCTGTCCACCTAAAGAGGATGAGAGTTTCATACTTCACTTCTGTGCTGATGAGGGTTATGAAGACCATGTGTTACCTACGTTTACTAGAGAATTTAAAGGTTTGCGCCACATAATGACATTTGTTGAAAGGAAGCTGGAAACGTTGATTGTTAGTGCACCACTACAGTCTTTGCAATTTGAGAGCTTATGAGGTATCGTCGGGCACACGACGTTAAAAATAGCGCTTCTCGGGAGGCAACCCGAGCTTATTTCTGTTTTTGATTTTGCTTTTGCTTTGTTTGTTGTTTGGTTGTTTTGCTTTGTGTTTTTGTTGCAACTCAGGGTCTTGTTGTATGGATGATGTGCCGAGGATTACATTGACTCAGTTTAGTTCTGCATCGACCAACGCCTTAGGGAAGTTTCTGTGACTCTAATAATCGCCTGTTTGTAATAATTGACTTGAGTTAAGTTGAGCACGCGTGACCCTATCCTCTTTACCCCCTTGTGCATAGTGCATTTTTTGTCATCGAGGACGATGCCAAAGTTTAAGTGTGGGGGAGTGAATTGGACATTCGGGCAGTAGTTGTTACATGTGATTATTAGAGTTAGCATGCACAGGTGTTAGTTGTATATTCATAGAAAATTCATGTCAAAATTTTTGAAATTTTTTCTTTAAACCGTGTCTTTGTGAGCTGGCTAGCGTTTTGACTATGTTTTTAGGACATCTTTGAAGTGTTTAGGCTTAAATTGCTTGCACTATAATCTAGTTGTTGAAAGGATGAAGGCATTAGTCACTCATGTAATGAATTAACAATTTTCCCATTGACCTGAATAAGTTCCTTTAGGAGAAGCCACTTTGAGCCTGACCGTTTATTAATAGCCGATTAATTGAGCTCCATAGCCAAATGGCCTGTGTTCCTTACCCGTGAATATTTCTGACTTAGTCTTGATGTTTAGGGAACTAGGGGATTAATTTGCTAAGTTTAGGGAATTTGTGTAGGAGCCATTTTTGGCATTGTTCATATGCCCCAAATGGGGTAAGAGCAGTAACTTTTTAGGAATTTGATATTTTCGAGGATTGCATTGTAGGCATGAATTAACTTTTAAATAAATGAACCTTAATTGCTATTTTTCCTTGGTGAGGCCGAGATTAGAATGGGGTAATGTCTAGTGAGAATCCGAAAGGTGAAAAATTAATATAGCTAGACCTCTTACTTTTCGAAAAAGAGAATGGGAGCCCCGGTCAAAAAGCGTAAGATGAGACTTGGGTATCTTTCGAAAGAAACGGCGTTCTCGTGCCAACATGACAAGGAAAACTGAACCTAACTAATGAACTTGGAGGCTATTGCAAAAATTAGCTTTAGTCCTTCGCGTACTTCAAGTATACGTCAAAGCACAAATGTGTCGCGACGGTTTAACTTAGTTGTACACCATGTCTACTCTTTGCATAGGTTTAAATGATTGTTCCTAAATTGTGGCCTACTGAGTTCCTTGTTCCTAATAATAGCCCTGAAGTTCCTGAATACATT